GATGGCCGCCCATTGCGCTCATCATCTTCCAGGCTCTCATCACCGGTACGAAATTTTTCAAACCACCACTGTGCTGTGCGTTGATTCATCGTACCTAGATCTAAGTCATCGTTGATATCCCGGTCCGTTTTCATCGCACTGCTGCCCAACTTGGATTGGAAAAGAAAAATCATGCGGATCTGTCGTTTGTCCATGCTGATTTCGACCTTCTAAAAAACCCTAGGAACCACTCCAGGGCAAAACCGATTATATATTTGAATAGAGCAAGAAATGCGCTCCAGAATGGTGTAAAACATGCAAGAAATCTAATAGCAAATAACATCGCGGCGAGCATTTGAGAATTAGGCGTCAAAAACCGCAAGAACTTTCTTCACGACCTAATAGTTTCGTAAAACTAATACGGCCCTTGCTGTGTGACGCTGCAAGATTATCATAGAAATTCTGGTGTCATAAGTAAGAAGACTTACTACTTTCGCATTCATAATGACAACAGGCTCCGGATCAAGACGAATGCTGACTTGGAAGACGGTTTGACCAGCAGATCCAGCGGCGAAGCCTTCAAGAAAGTCGATTTCGACTCTGAAAATTCCCATTCCATCGCAAGTCCTTCAGATCACAGGACTCGAACTGTTCCACTTACCTATATGCCGGATTTGCTATTTTACCATGTATGTGGTACAAGGATCCGACCTCTATTGGCCCAGGCATCTTATATGAGTATGGCAGAGGGCATGCCTTATCATCTGCATGAGGAAAATCCTGAAAAGAAAACAAACCAAAGTTAGTCATTTTAGAGTGGAAACCGTACTGTTTATGGATTTTTCTCTATTCTATTTTACTCCATTCTATTCTATTCCATTTTCTTTTATTATATTTATGAATCGAATGTATCCTCTCCAGAAGCCTTTTCTCCCACTGAAATTCTTGTGCAATTGCTAAAGATCATGAGTATGCCAAAGAATGTGTGTTTACTGTTACTAGTCGGATCGCTCGACTGACGCCATGCTCTTTCGTGTTATATTTGACTCCCCGTCTGAACCGCTTTGATACATATTTAGACTTTCCAGATCAGAAGAGCTGCGTTTGATTCACGGCCACATACACACTTCACACCCTCCCCATGCGCCGCCCCGGAATGGGCGATCTTCTGCTCAAGTCCTGCTTGTATTAACACATTCACGCCGATGGCAGCCCACTGCTGGGACAGTGGCAGACAATATGGGCTGCCAGATTAAAATTGCCTGTCATTTCCTTATATCATACCAGTCGGTCCGCTCGGCTAACGCCGGGCTATCTTTCTTAAGCAAACTTGTAGTAACCAGTTAGCTCTCCACTACCTTGAAACAAGTAATAGTTTCCTGTACACGAACTTTGACACAGGACTAACAGGGCGACGCAAATGGTACTCGTATTCAGTGAAAGTCGGTGCTTGCGCCTTGAATTGGAAGTATCGATCTTTAGCGCTCTTTCTTCTAAATAAGTACCCAATAAAGATTCAATTGTTAGGTAACCAAAGCCTTGAGCGGTACGAACGAATGTTTGACAACAACACCATTATCAGATGTTATCTATGGACCTTTTCCTTTACAGAGATATCATTAGTTAAGAATCCTACTAATATAATCGGCTAAGTGTGTCTGTTGGTGTGTTTGTGTGTGTGTGTGTGTTTGTCTG